ATTTCAAGTTTTGCAAACAAAAGCATTGATTTTAATTTACTTTTGAATTCTACAATAAACGAGTGGGAATTGGTTTGTTTTACGGCATATCAACACCTCAATGGGTTATTTAATGCCGACAAGATTTTTATTGCTGGTAATATTTTTTCAAAAATATATTGCTGGTAATATTTTTTCTAGAAATGTACTGCTGGTCATAATGTATTGTTGGTAATAATTTTTTCTTCAAAAATTCATTGCTGGTAATACCTTTTACAAAACTATATTGTTGGTACTAAAACCTATTTTTACACTTTCATAGTGACTTGATCCTAGTTTGGAGGTTAACTATTTGCCCATAGCTGGGACCCTAACAGGTGCTACTACACCAGGTCAGGGTGGACCTGGAAACACTAGCAATTAAGAGGAAGTACCACGCTCCTCAAAACCTCCTAATCATAGACGTTACTGTTGAATGTATTTTATCGTCTTATCCAGGACGCGGATGTATTTTATCGTCTTATCCAGGACGCGGATGTATTTTATCGTCTTATCCAGGACGCGGATGTATTTTATCGTCATACCCTGGACGCGGATGTAGTTTATCCTTTTACCCAGGACGCGGATGTAGTTTATCGTTATACCTAGGATGCGGATGTAGTTTATCGTCTTACCCAGGACGGGAGTGGCATTTGCTTATTGTATTCATATATTAGAAATACTTTTTTACTCGACTTGAAATAAATATGTTCAATATATTGAATAGGATAAAAATGTATTTTTCAGAAAAAAAAATTCAAGTCAAATATATTAATTTGTGTCTAACAGCTTTAAAACATTATTTTAACCGTGTCAGATGTTTAAATGATTTTAGTACATCTTTAGAAAAAAACATTAACATCCCTATGCACAGTATATAGTATAGTCTAAAGTATGACCAAAGTACTCACGTCTTATAAACAGAAATCTCTAAGATTAGGATATACGACTACAGACATTTACACTCTATTTAACATTAAGGTCTCCTGACAAGTGCATACTCTCGCTACAAAACTCTGAGTAATAACAGATAAGTGAATTTTATTTCTTAATATTTTTATATCATTTCGGACTTAATTTGTGAATTTGGGGTCCACAAAAGTAATTCAAATTGGGACCCTAGATTCTTAAAGTTGAGTTTATGGGTTTTAGTTCTTAACTGATTAATGACTTGTCAGTCGTATTCCATGATTCCTATCTACAATGACGTCTAGCCAATCCCTTTTGCAGACGCCTGTTCAGGCACATTTGGGTTCGTTCAACATCCACAGAGCCCACCTCTAGTTTATACTGCAATCTATGCTGAGCCGACCAAAGTTACAGTTTCTTGAAGAGAGCGCATTATCTGGCGTGAACAACAGTCTGAACAAGTACACTAAAACCTTCGGCCACGATGACTTGTGACTTCGTGCTAGCACAGCCATCGGCGGAACCCAAATAGTTTCTTATACTCAATTTTCACTCACACGTCACCTGGGCCAACCCGTAGTATGATTTTCAGGCACTCTCCTAAAATGTCGGATGTTGAGACCGCTTCCCCATGAAAAAAAGTCATCTCCTAACAAATCGTCCAGGGTAAGAATCGAACAGGGATTCCAAAGTTGGAAAACGAACGTTCTATCTACTCGGCCAATTGCCTATACAGGCTTTAATTGGTTTATCTCTGAGAACAAAGGCAGACTCAGAGCCTACCTTTGTTCTCAGAGATATTAACCAACAGTCGACGTTAAGTAGGTGTTTTCTATTTGTGTCAAAGATGATTCAACGTATAACGAGTTAGAATGAAGCTCAAGTTGAAATCTACAATAGGAAAGCTTAAGGTCAGCTTTGCGAAGTCCACCTTCTTTTCAACAATCTTTGATCCAACACTTGTCGCTTGGTTCATATCTGGTAAGTTCATTCGCTATCGTAGACTTGCGTCTACTTTTAACGCACTTAAACTTTTTCCTCGTGGGTCACCGTGATTAATACCGAACAAGTCAAGTAGCTCGCCACGAATGAGACTGTTTGGTACCAATTAGGCGAGGAGATATTTATAGCCGAACTGGAAGAAATACGACAGTGAAAAACACACCAGCATATTCACTTTCAACAGTAGCAATCTCGTATGTTTCTTGGTTTGTACTAAGTCTAAGAGTACTGAACTGGCGGTGAAGAGGTCTGTGTAAGAATCACTGACATTTGCCTCCGATACTAATTGTCACTGAAATCGAGAAAAAATTGACTTGAACTGAGAAACAAACGTATCATTTATTATTGATAACAATTAGTATTAATATAGCAGAAAATGAAGATGGCAGTAGTGTCAGTCATTAGTGGAGTACTCGGAAAGTCTTAGGAAGAGCTGGAGCAACTGAAAATAAGGGAGTGCTCGAGAACACCGAGATAAATTCTGTTATGTATTAATAACAGAATTTATCTCGATGTTCTTGATCATGACTCGCCACAACTTCCCGTCTTTTGTTGCTTTAAGTAATTTTTGAAACATTTTCCTTGTTTGTTATTCATTCACGCAATATCGTTAATAAGGTTCCCCTCTGTTTACCGTTACCCCTATTGCCTTCAATATTAAATGTTAAATAAGTATTAAATTCTCTCGACTCTACTCACACTTTCCTCAGTATGTGTCCCCCATAAATTTCAACTGCCTCTTAAAGAGTCAAAATATCGGTTTGTTTGTAGTTCCTGTTCTACTTAACACTTCCTCTTGGCTGACATGTCTCGTCCATGTTGTTTTTCTCATCATTCGTCGATAGAACCACATTTCTGATGTTTCAAGTCACTTCTTCGGCTGTGAGAAGATTGTCCAGCATTCACTGACACATAGTATATATATATATATATATATATATATATATATATATATATATATATATATATATAAACAAAAAAAAGATTGTTGGACGGCTATGATATATATATATATATATATATATATATATATATATATATATATATATATATATATCATAGCCGTCCAACAATCTTTTCTTTGTTTCTAAAAACACTTGTACGTAGAACCACATCTCTTTCGATTCAAGTCAGCCTTCATCTATGAGGAGATTGTCCAGCATTCACTGACACATAGGATATATATATATATATATATATATATATATATATATATATATATATATATATAAATTATAGAATATATATATATATATATATATATATATATATATATATGTAGTAGAGCCGTCCAACACCTCTGTCTTGTAAGTAGAACCACAGCTTCAAGTCTCTTCTTCATCTGTGAGGAGATTGTCCAGCATTCACTGACACATAGGATATATATATATATATATATATATATATATATATATATATATATATATATATATATTACATAGCCGTCCAACACTCTTTTCTTTGTTCCGAAAGGCACTTGTAAGTAGAACCACACCTCTGTCGCTTCAAGTCTCTTCTTCCCCTGTGAAGAGATTGTCCAGCATTCACAGCCATATAGGAGATTAGATATAATATAGCAGTTTAGTATTCTATTTTCCCCTTCTTTCTAATTATATTCTCCTATCTTAATACTTCGCTTCGTTTCTGGAAACATTTTTTGCTCTTGCTATATGTCTTCGGTTTACTACAGAGAATGTTGGCTTATGGAGAAGACGTATTTGGATTATTAATTTATTCTACTAGATGATACGGCTAGGATCACTCGATTTTCAATTCAGACTAGTCCTCCTCTTAAGATTGGGCAAGAATAGACGTATTCTTGCCTTTTATAAGGTCATTCATGCGAAGGCCAGAATTTTAATTCGTCCACGGATTCCACTTTCTTCACTGATATCCGTTACGTTGCTTCTTCTTTTATGCCATGTCCTTTGAGGGCATCAAAGGCCATGGCTCTCCACAACATCTCACCATTCCTGGCAGAACTTATATAATCACATCTAATTAGGATATCTAATAACAAAAGTGACGGAAAGAAAAAGAAAAAGGATCTAAATTAAATCGGCTAGAATAAAAACATTTAAATTTTAAAATTCTCAGCATCCCTTGTTCGTGCGCATGTGTAGTCACACCAACATAACAAATTTCATCTTTGTCGCCATATTTATCACAACATTTCGGCCGTTGTACACTTCGCCTTCTTCAGGTAGTTGGAATGTGGCTCACTAGTTCCACATGCCATGTATAATGGATGTCAGTTATCAGTTATCAGTTATCTCCTGTTAATTCCCTTCTCCAAGTTCTCCACCGCATTAACCAGGTTTTGAACTCACTGGATCTAACCAACGCCTTTATCCACTGTGCCATGTGTCCTTGAGGACATCTGTGTATGAATTTCTGGGTATTATAAACCTAATGTCTTCAGCAACCATTTTTACCAGTGCTCAGATTGCAATTTTTGCTGTTTTCATTTCATGTTTTTACCATAGCTCATATTGTAATTTTTGTTATTATTATCGCTTTTCGGCTCAGGAGATTTTTGTGGCCAATCATACGTGCCGATTCTTTAAATTTAGGAATTTTCCGATGATGTTCTTTGTCTATGATCTCAACCTGATCCCACAGAGGGCGGTGATCTACCGTTACTCTCCAAATGTGGCCAGCCACGCCTGATTTTTCCACTTGATAAATATGGCGACAAAGACGAGGACAATAGTCCGAATAATGTAAATAGTGTACATAATACTTCATCTCAGAAATATAGACAGATACTGAAAGGCCGAAACGTTGTGATAAATATGGCGACAAAGATGAGGACAATAGTCCGAATAATGTAAATAGTGTACATAATACTTCATCTCAGAAATATAGACAGATACTGAAAGGCCGAAACGTTGTGATAAATATGGCAACAAAGATGAGGACAATAGACCGAATAATCTAAATAATGTACATAATACCTCATCTCAGATATAACAAATTTCGTCTGATGAAATCCTGAAGTACATGTCTTGAGGATCTCATGTTATGAATTCTTGATTTTTGTATTTTGTATTTTTCTTCAAAACCCTTACCTGACGAAATGCGCTGTGGTTACGAAACGTAGCTGCTCCCATTTGTCGCAGATAAGAATGAATTTTGGTTGTTTGATGAGTTCGACAATCACCTTATATGTTTCCCAATAAGCCCAGAAATCCTGACAAAGAAAAAGTAAAATTTAAATAAAAAAGAAAGATTCAGAATAGTTCTTCAAATAAACTTGATGTTTAAATATTAATTTAAATATTAATGTCCGCGCGAAGCAAAAACTGTAAATATACATAATTTAGATAGCCTGTCTCTGCTAATGGAGGTGGAAGGATCTTCTATAATTCAGTTGGTATTCATTTGCACGCTCACTCGTGACATTGACAACGTGCAAATACCCTAGAGAAAGGCATAAATCCACCTTTCCCCATTTCACTATTTATGAGTAAATAGCATGACAAACTCGGCAACCAATATAAGAGAAAGAAAAATCTGAATTCAAACTAGCTTGGTGAGAACTGGACTTCCTCAGGCAATCTTGCCCAAAGACGCACCACTTATGCAACGTCGGCAGTACTCATGGGCTACGGGACTTATGTCTTGTGTGCTTTCAAGGTTTCTTTAATTATACATACGTGAAACATGTTAGATTGATATACGTTTCTTATTTGTTCTTTATTTTATCCATATTAAGATCCCTATTTGATCTGCATTTGATTTTTAAGAGGCAGTCCGAAACTGAGTCGCGTTCAGACAATTACTGCAAGACATTGGTATAGTGATACTGGTCGAGACTACATTGTTCTCTCTTCTAAACCTGATTGTTCGTACTAACACTTCTACTTCTCTGTATAAATTCCTGTTTGTAATATATCTGTATTATTCCATACCTGTGTTCGAGTTCTTCTTTATTGGTTCTACCTTGGACTATCACCGTGGTACAAGGAACAGGACCATAACATATATATATATATATATATATATATATATATATATATATATATATATATATATTCATCCAAACAGGTTTGGTTAAATAATTTAGACATATTACGTCTGTTTATTTTTGTTTTCATCCTTTCGAGTCCACGAATCAATTTCTTGGTAACTGTAGAAAATTAATTAACAAAATACCAACATTTTCTTTCAAATAATTTTTATTTTCAAAATTATTTCAGTTTTATCTGAGGCCAACTTCAGTGAATTAAATTGTAAATTCAAAACATTTTTATGTGGAAATTAAAAATTATTTGAAAGAAAATTTTGGTATTTTTCTTAATAACTTTTCTTTTCTACAGATACTAAGAAATTGGTGCGTGGGCTCGAAAGTATATATATATATATATATATATATATATATATATATATATATATATATATTTTACTTCAATCAATTTTTTAGTGAATACCTGTGTTTGTAAACAGTGTGTCTTACCTAAATCGGTTTGTGCACTCGAGAAAGTTTAATAAAGGAAATGTGCTCTCTTGCATAGTTCGAACCTGCGTCCTCCTTTGTAGTAGAAACTAGCATTTGACTCGGCGTGTTTTTGACCGCTCGGCCACAGAGATCTATTTTCTAGTTTTCGTTTAAGGAATTCACACTCCCTCGTTGATATATAATAGTCCATATCTGTTCGATTTCGCATCCTGAACGTAAAAAAAGCAATTTCTAAAGAATTAATGGAAATGTGTTCTCCGGCATTTTTCTTTCCTAAGATCTCTCGAGTGCGCTGTCCGATAGACGTAACAAATCAATTCCGAGTTTGAATTCAAGTTGGGTTCGTCATATTCACTTAAAAGTAAATACCCTTGGGAAAGGTATAAATCCTTCTCGTCCTCTCCCCGCCTCCAGCGTGTATCACTAAAACTATTATTTTCTCCAAAAAAATGTATACAAAATATTTAAATTTCGGTATTAAATAACCCATAGAGATGTTGATATGCCATTAAACAAAACAACCAACTATTATAGACAACGCTAGTATATACCGGTATTATAAACTTCGGTCCCATAATATTTGTATGCCAGCATACACATTACATATACTAAAAGGAACTATTATGGGACAGAATATTTTATTATAAAGTTCTTCCATTGGCATATCAGCAATATTATTGGTCCTGACCTGGCTGCTCAGCTTCAGTCATTTTCCCATCACCGTAAGGTTGCCTTTCTGTGTCTTTTCTATAAATACTTTCATGGTAATTGTTTGGATGACCTCTTTGCAACGGGACATAGACTTTTTGAATTTAAGCGCAGTATTAAACTGGTGTCGAGTTGAGTTGGTTAAATGTAGCCATCAATTCTATACTAAGAGTTTCTTTTCTCGCACTTCTCGTTTGTGAGACTCCTTTCCCGATCCCTATTTTTCAGCCAACTTTAATCTGCAAAAAGGTAAATGCAGTGTCAATCGCTGCCTACTGTTCACCTGATTACTCTTTTCTCTTCCCGCTAATTATTAATTTTTCTGTTCCTGTAACCCCTTGTGTCTTAGTGGCTTTATTGCCTTGCATGGGATAATACCGATTTTAAAAAAATACACATTTATTATGCGAAATGTCGCAACATTTGTGGGACAGGGATTGTATCATTTTGAAAGCCTGTCTTCTGTTAAGAAATATTTTAATGTTCTAACTTTTTGTCGATTTTTCTTACCTTATATTTTGTGAGCAGGTCTTGGAGAGCCCCAACTTGGACAATCACAGATGAGGAAAACTGTTCTTCTGTAATTTTAAAGCAAAGAAAATTAATGAAAGAAAAGAGTTAACGCCAAAATATAGCTTCGCAATTTTAGCGTCGCACGGCTATAATTAAGGTCACATCTTTAAAATTCGCGCCTTATCTTCATTTTACCTCTGCATACCACTGTAACCAGAGCCTGGTAATCAGCTCATCTTAACTTCTACATTTAAGGCATTAATACTATTTAATTTTCTTTATTTCATCAACTCTAGTGAATATAATTTTTCCATTAGCTATACTCGTCTATTGAATTATATCTTTTTATTTAAAACAGCATTTGAAACATTTTTAGCTAGAGTTGGTAAACGACTAAAGGTGACTGAATGAGTAGAAAAAATGTTTCTTTTAGCCGGTCAAATAGCGGCATCCTGAGGGCTGAGAATCAGTCTATAAAGGTAACTTGGCTTGTGAATGGTGTCATTGGCCTATTAGATCACAAGTGGACACTACAAATCAAAATTAAGAACAAATATTATTATGCGCGCATTCATTTTTTCTATAAAAATATCATAGGTTGTGTCGGTGAGTTAGTGGTTAGTAATATTCAAAATGGGTTCAAGACCTGACTAAGAATAACTGCGTTGAATTTGCACTAATGCCCCCGGGAAGGGTATGAATACGAATAAAGCGTACCCTGTGATTGAAAGAAATCTTATGCAAAAACAAATATTTTTCCCAGAAAAATTTATACAGATGTAAAAATAAAAATAACACGTTGAGCTTTTAATGTTCAAAGTATATTTACATATATACACACACATATATATATATATATATATATATATATATATATATATATATATATATATATATAAATTAAATAATTAAGAAAGAGACAACATTAAGGTCCCATGAGTATAATTTATTTCCCCAGAAAATATATTTTTCCTGGTTCATCAGTTCACATCTATAGTTACAAAAAAGAATTTGGTTTCTTTTGTTTCTCTCTTTTTTTTAATTATTTAAAAACAAAAACAAAACAAAAAAACTTGTATTAAAAACAAAAGAAACCAAATTCCTTTCTTAATTATTTAATTAATATTTACTCTGGTGTTACATTGAGCTCTCTGGATTATATACTCTTTGGAATTATTCACACGGATTGCCAAACCTCATTCTTATATATATATATATATATATATATATATATATATATATATATATATATATATATTCGGGGCCTGACGATTGCGCCCTGCATGAAACAGCATCTCGCCTCTGAGTGTTGACTTCAATGTTTACTTTTATATTTATATTTACATACGTTCTATCTCTGATATTGAGCACTTTAAAACTACAGTTCTTCATAATATATATATATATATATATATATATATATATATATATATATATATATATAAAAGGAGAACTTAGCTCAAGCGTATTATTTTGCAACAAGTATTTATAAACAAAAGTAAATGCTACAGAATTTTTATATTTAAGAACGTACATGAATATTAATCAGGCCAACTGAAAAGTCAAGGTAAATTATGGAGGATGCTAAGTGACATAATTTAATGTCTTAAAAACAAAACCGAGTAAATGATTCTGTGTTGTTTTAACAGAGGACGAAACGCGTAGTCTAAGATCTAAATCAGTAACAAAGAATGGACTCCTTAGTCAAGCATCGAACTGTCTATCATCTTTCTATTCAGCTGTAAGCAATTTGCGATAATGCCTCGTTAACCATTACACAATGACAAGACGCCCCTGGAGAAGAAATAAATGAAATCTAAAAAGAAATCTTCAGAAAATATGTTATACTTTCGAGCTCTTTATCAATTCATAATAGGGTAGTACATTTTAGAAAACCCAAGTGCACATCGACGTGACGTGATGGTTAACAAGCTTGTATCAGTCAGTCAGTTATGTGCCATGCGTGATACACGCTTAGGTGATCATGTATTTTTCGATACATGACTGACGAGGCAGATTTTTTTCCCGCAGTAGGTTGCCATTCTTTCTGCGGTAGACCAGTTGCCATCCAGTGCTATAGAACCCGGTCTGTCCTGCTATTTACCCATAGCTGGTAGGAGAAGAAGAGGATTCACACCTTTCCCAGGAGTATTAGCGCGTAAGTGAATGCAATGGTTTCGACTAAAATTTGAACTCGGCTTGTATTGCTAAATTAATTACGACAGAGTAGTGATTTCGGTCCTCACTTGGTGCTCTTGTCTTTCAGCCTTGTGTCACGTCTAAGCTAAGCTTAGAAGAACATTTGGACACTTCGACGTGATGTGATGGTTAGCAAGCTTGTCTCGTTAGATCAATTACGGCTGAGTAATGAGTTCGATCTCCACTGGAAGCTCCATACTTTCAGCCTTGTGCCACAAATACTTAGTGAATCTCTATTAGAGCTGCTCATCGTTCTAGAATGACAAGCAAGCTACTCTCAAGAATCTTTATTATGAAATAATGAGTTCGATCCTCACTGTGTTGACACTTTTCAGCAAAGACTAAACTTTCTTTTCAAAACTCACTTCAACAATAATTACTTTTTTTATCTCCACAAAAACTTTTGGCGTTAAAGCTAATCTGAAAGCCAAAGCTGAAACGTAAAAGAAAGTAATTTATGCATATATTTTACCTGTCCTTATATTGTGTAAGAGCTTTTTATTTCAAACTGACCTGAACTATTTTCAGATGAGACTTCTTCCTCAAAGATTAATCTTATCCGATGAATTCTTTCTTGGAGTTCTTCGAAGTCCTTATAACCATTCCATTGTTCCAACATTGCATCTTCGATAAATGTTAGAACCATCAGAAGTTCTTTGCGCTGAGCTGCAGTCATCTGGCCTAGTTTCAAAATCTGAAACATTTAAAGTTAAATTTTAATGCAACAATTGATAAATAGGTAAGAAACACCGTTTTAGTGCTTGTAGATTAATATATTTCAGGAGATGCAAGATTATATATATATATATATATATATATTGTGTGTGTATTTAGACAGTATTTTTTCATTGATGCATGTTTCATTAATAAATAAAGACAAGTTTTGTCTATTTTATGTAAATTCTTTTCATGTCGGCTGATAAGGTTAATAACATTATCATTAAAAGAAGAAAAAAATCACAATATTGATACATATTTTTTAATCTTATCTAAGCTTTCGGCTTACATAAGACATTATCAAAGAAGACAATTACATCCAAAATTTTTACAAAATTCGCTTGAGGATGAAACAGCTTCTGTTTTTTGAAACATGAGAACTCTTATGTAACGATGGAATCATATTTTTTTAAAATAATTATATATATATATATATATATATATATATATAACAATTAGTTGGAATAATAGGCATAAAAACGGATAAAAAGTCTATTGATTACTTAGAAATTACATTGTTTACATTTTGTATTCGAAAAAAAAGAGCAGATATGCGCTTCTAGAAGTTTCTTCAAAAGGACATTCTTCAAAAGGATAATCGCAACTTGCTGGCCAATCACGTTCTCTGTAACCGAGCTCTCGATTTCGCACCGGTCAGATGGTGCTTTTTCCCTACAAAGGTGCAGATGGTTTGGAACCCTTTATTAATTCTCTCGGAAGCGCAGGCAAGTAGACGTAATTCACACTATCAAAAACAAGGCTTCTACTCAAACATAGATATCCACAAAATAATTGACGGCAGAGGTCATCATATCCTCGCGGAAAGAAGATCGAGTGTTTGAAGAAAGACCTCGAAACCACATACCCCCAGACCAGTGTTACTTTAACAGTATCCAAAAATAGAAAAAATACGTATGAAAAATTTAGTCTCTTCTTCTTATCTATCAAGAACTATTTGAATTTATATGAGATAGATTTTTTTTTTCTTAACAACATAAGATACACATAGAGTACTGTATTGATGGCTAACACAGGAAGAAAAATATAGGGACTAACTATCAATGCCAAAAAAGGCAGAATATATGGTTGTTAGCCAAAGGAACCGTCTAAGATACGAATTAAAAATCGGAGATATCAAAAAATGTGGCTCCGAAATCCGAAGTTGTTTAGGAATTACAAAAGATGACTTTCAAAAGCTAAACCAAATAGTAAGAAAGAGGGAAAAAAAAAAACAATGAAATGAGTGCTAATCTGTTATATGATATCAACTCTCCTGACATATGAAGAAGAGACTTGAGGCAACACAGATGTGGTTGTACAGAATGATGCTGAGGATATCATTGACAGAGCATGTCACCATCAAGGAAGATTTAAGGAAACAGAAACAAAAAGGACAATTATAATACGAATCAGAAAAGAACAGTTGGAACAGAGAAATAAAGAGGAAAGAAGGCTAGGAAAATCTGACACTCACAGGACATATTGAAGGCAAGAGGAACAAAGGAAAGTAGCGAGTAACTTATCAAACAAGGTTGCGTAAATGAATAGTAAAAATACAAACATTGATAAAAGCTTCAAAGGATAGGAAATGGTGGAGAACCATGATCATTGCTTCTTCTACATTTAAATCAAGCTGAGAGTAGGCTTCACAAATAGAATCATAACAGTTCCATTCAGAGAGGAATGTATAACAAGGAAAGAGGGCTTCGAGAATTTGACACTCACAGGAGATATTGAAGGCAAGAAGGGCAGAGGGAAACAGCGAGTAATCTACTTGACGTGTTTGTGTAAATGGACAGGAAGCTGGAGGAACAATGAAAAAACAAACATTGCAAAGAGTTACAAAGGATAAGAAATTGGGAAGAGCCATGATCGCCAACGTCTTGAAGAGAACACGGCACAGACGAAGGAAAAAAAAAAGGTGTTACTTACTTCTTCCTCATTGTAATCTTTTATTACTAAAAGCATGAATGCAATTAATTTATAACCCAATCTTTTCACACTTGCTGTCCACAGCGCCAACAACTGGATTCGCATCCTGAAAGGAAAACCAATTAAAATGATTGATTATTCTGCATCCTAAAATGTTACAATAATAAAATATTATATAAAATCAAAAATAAAACCCGGAAATTTCACGGTGTATCATTGCAGATATAAATATAAGTTTTATTTTGTAAATACTGCTTGCATTAATACCTGACTGATGGCAATTGCTTTCTCTTGAGTTTCAAAAACATTTCTATAGTAAAAGCATTGCATTTAGCTTATGCATGTAATATGCACCTTCTGTTTATAATTCCATCATTAATTCCTGAGCTGTGAAATACAGTTTTTACTTCATTTTAAATATGTAAGATAAAGATTGAGTGACGAAAAACAGTTGTAAAATTCAACTATTTTATTTGAATAGCACCAGAATAAGAATAAAATCGAAAATAAGGAAATGATGGAGTAAGAATATATCGATGGATACCGATGAGCAAAAGACAAAAAAAAATGACGATTGATATTCCTAGAAGATTGTCAACAAAAGAAAAGTGTGTTAAAAGTTGTCGCCCTTCACACTTACCATCAGGAATTTATGGGCCACTAAAATTGAAGGGAGGAGGCAAAGAAATTGACGGATCTGCTTAATAAATCCTATTTCTTATATATGCAATTATTAGAGGGAATGAAAGTGTTGATATATTTGTTTAATAAATACTATCCGTTATATATGTAATCATTAGAGGGTATGAAAGTATTCACGTATTTGTTTCATAAATTCTATCCGTTATATATGTAATCATTAGAGGGAATGAAAGTGTTGACGTATTTGTTTAATAAATTCTATCCGTTATGTATGTAATCATTAGAAGGAAAGAAAGTGTTGATGTATTTGTTTAATAAATCCTATCCTATCCTATATGTAATTTTGTTTTTGATATTACTGTTAATGATTTATAATAGTGAATCCTTTGTCACGTGCACCAATAGAATTTATTGTATGAATAAAAATCCTCGATGTTTCATGTAGAAAATACAAGCAGGTTGACTCCAATGTTACTGAAGTATTGGCTTCATGTTTTCTTAAAGTACGTCTCACCGAGTCATATATGTGGTGATGGCCTCTAATGTCAATAACACTTGATTTAATTCCTCACCACTGACATCTTTTTCCTTCCGATTTCTTGTGCATTTTATAAGAAAATATTTCACAACACACTTCTACAACAAATTCTTTACACTTCATTACTATAAGAAACCACAGCTACACAAGATAAGCTAGACAGAGTATGGCGCTATACTGTCATCACACTTTACTTCATTCGTAACTCTGTATGTCTTTCACCTCTCACCAAGAAGTGAGGCTCTTCGGAGTTGGGTAATGTTTAACGAGCTACTTTGATTGCCAATTATTCGTGAGTTCAATCATCATTGGGTACTCTTACCTGTAGCATTGAGTTAAAAGATACAGAACTATATTAACTTTTCCAGGGTGCTAAGGAATCAATGAAATGTAAATATGACAGTCGTACCAGTAGTTATAAGAGCTCTTGGAAAAATCACAAAGAACCTGTGGAAAAGACTGAAGTAATTGTAAATCAAAAGAGACAATCTCACCAGAATTCGGTATTATTAAAATAACTAGAATACTGAGGAAGGTGCTAGAGGATTGAGTAGACATACTTTTTTTTATCTCTAATGGAAGCTACTAGATACTAATGTTGTAAAAAATCTCGATAATAATAATAATAATAATAGCAACAACAACAATAAGAAGAAGAAAATCGCAATCTCAAAAATATGGCACATGGGAACATCAACAATTCCTGTTGTAGTTGGAGTCCTAGGATTTGTTGGAAAAGATTCCAGTAGATTAATAGAAGGGATTCCTGGAAGCCCATGCCTTAAAGAAATACAAAAAATTGTTCTCACAAGTACAGCCCACATTTTACGAAGGGCTTTATCTATGTAAAATATGTTTTTTGTTTTGTTTTTGTTTTTTTGTCAGTGGAAAATGTCATGACGCCATTTTTAACCTTAGGTCTCTGAGCGAGACCCGGAAAGAAATGTGCAGACGCCAGAAATCAAAGGAAATAAAAACAATAATAATAATAATATTTAATTGCTTCCTAATTGTCTGGCCGTAACCAATTGGGCGTGTCTCGTCGGGCTGACACATCTTTTGTTCATGTGCAGGAATAGATGAACACCATGTCCAGGTGTTGAGAGAGTTGCTTAATTTTTTTGTAAGTTTGAAGGATGAAACAGCAAAGACGACTTGGGAGATACATCTAGATATTTGGGGACACCCTCAATCGGAGACTGTCAGAGCGAAATGTTACCTGACCTGTAGGTTTTCTAACTTGGCCCACTTGCAAGGTTATGCTTGCGTTTATGAAAATCAAACACCATATCACTCATATTTGGCTGCGGTGCATGTAATTGGTATAACCTTATAAGACTGGTTGTTATGATGGGTACATTGGGCTGTGTACATTTGTGACCCATCATCACTTTGTTATGGGTTGCTCTTTCAACAATAATAATAATAATCTCAAAAGGCACGATGGAGTAAAGGTAGCGGCTCGGGTTGAGGAATCGGAGGGCAGGGTTCGAATTCTGGTCGTGATCATTACACTCACTCACGTGCATATACCGTTGGGAACGGTATGAATAAACCTCTCCCCCCTCCAGTAAATAACAGGACAGCCTTGCATGGCAAAAGGTCTAGGAGAAGGAGAATGCTGAATTCAAAATCTGAGTGGTCGAGTGGTCGGTGACTAAACTGGTTCCCCCACTCGGAGCACAAAAATCAAAAACTGTTAAAAGATGAATGAACTCTTCAGAGTCAGCAGACATCCCCCTCAACTATGGGTTAAATAGCCTCACCAAGCCTCAATGATCAGGCTTGATAAGTACAGCTAAACCTCTGAAGGCCTAGCCAATCAGAGAGACCCTCTTCCCAGATTTGGGATTGGATTTGGAATGTCTCTAAAACTTAAAAATTGTTCAAGCATAATTCTTACTTGATTGCGACGTCGATTGCATTCGGATTAGGTCCTGGTATTAGCACCACGACAGCAGGTACAGTGCCGATTTGACCACGAGAGTTTTTCACCTATAATAATGAAAAAATAAATTATTATATTAAATCGTAAACAGTGCATTTAAAAAACAGGGCTTATAAAGTATAAATACTTTAAATAGGAAATGACAGATTATTTTTACTCGTTTTTTATTGAAAGACAGAATTCTGTTAATTTATAATCAATCGCTCAGTGTGCTGCCTAGAAAGTTGATTCTCTGTGTTGTGCTAGACATTTTCTATGACCAGAATCTATCTTACATATTTATAAGTCTACCATTCGTCCATGCATTGAATATTGCTGTCAAAATCACTGGTCGGGAGATTGGAGGTTTTGAGAAGCATGCAACCACCCTTTAATTGCTGACACGGGCTGGTGGCATCTGTTAAGGACCCAGTTATGGACAAATAATGAAACCTCTAATGAAAGTATAAAAATATATATTTATAGTAAGTATATAAGAAATACAATTTTATGAACAAAAGTAACATGACCAGGAATAAATTTTAAGTGAAACTATAAGATTGCGTTCGAAATATTTAGATTTCGGCATTAAATAACCCATAGAGGTGTTGATATGCCGCTAAATAAAATCAACCAACCAATAAACAAAACATTTTATCTGTAGTTGAACCTATAAAATTGTATCTGTCTATATTTCTGAGATGAGGTATTATGTACATTATTTACATTATTCGGACTATTGTCCTCATCCTTGTCGCCATATTTATCACAACGGTGATACAGTGGATAAAGGCGTTGGTTAGATTCAGTGACAGGACCCAAAGAGTGTGAGTTCAATACCCGATTAAGGGGAATTAACAGGAGATAACTGATAACTGACATCCATCAAACATGGCACGTGGAACTAGAACAGTCTACCCCAGTGAGCGAAATAAAGGGTTCAGTTCGACATTCCAACCACCTGAAGAAGGCCGGAGCGTACAACGACCGAAAGGTTGTGATAAATATGGCGACAAATATGAGGACAATAGTCCGAATAATGTAAATAATGTATACAATGAGTTAATTTCTAATTAATTCATATGAATAATATCTACAGAACCGCTGCATTGAGTAATTAACCCCCAAGAGGATACTTTCCCGATCACTACAATCTTAACCTCAGGTTAAACACTATCTGTGCTGATAATACAGTACACTCTTGCAACAACCTTATTTAGTTAACCCACTATTCTTGAGTGACTCTCTGGGCTTTGTACTGGGGGAAGAATAGTAAAAGAAAAAACTACATTGTTTTACTTCATTCTCATTCCCTTTATATTCCATTGGTGAGGAAGAAGTTTCATTTGGACATCTTCTTTCCCAGTACTGCTTCATTGTGAAATACATTCCCGAGAGGATGCTTCCCCGATCACTATAATCTTAACCTCTTCAAGTATAGGGTCTTCCACTGTTTATACTCCTAACACCCACCCTCCACTGTACACTATCACAATAACCCCATTTAATAAGCCGCTAACTTGAGTACCTCTTGAGACTTGTACTGGATGAAGAATAGTAAAAAGAAAAAGAAAAGAAAAATAAAGCTAAAAATCCTGTAAATCCTGCCACTTTACCTAGTTTTATAAAAAAAAAAAAAAAAAAAAAGCCCTCATTATTTGCCTCAATTTAAAATCGTTTGTTCTCTGTTATGGCTTGTTACAATAAAATGCTGGTAAAACAATCTGCCTGTTGTGTTCATCGGGTTTCGGAGCTGTTTCTAATGACCTGACTTCATTGTACCAACGCGAATCACGTCCCAAGCACTTGCAACTTGCTATAAAACAAATCCATTGTTGAACTGCTAAAAGGAATGAAAACTAACTTCCGTTGGTTGAGTGAAGCTTTTTCCCCCAAGCAGGATGTGAGTTTTGCTGCTCCAAGTCGGATGTCGTTAGCGAGACGATACTTTGCTGACATTTTTACCTTCTGCTCCTGTGTGCGGTAAAAGTGACGCTTAGTTTGCCTAAGTCATGAGACACCAGAAGGTTAGTTTATCACTAAGTGTGCCCCTTAAAATGTATCCTTGTCCAAAGAACATTTGAATAATCTTACATCAAAGTTGTGAGAAAATTTCAGGATATTATATAAGGGATTAAATATCCAAGGTAGCAGTTAATAATTAAATAAATTTTATTTTATTTACAATAATGTTCACCCAGTACAAGGCCCAATAGCCACTCGAGGTAGAGTGTTTCGAAGTTAGTGGTAAGGGACACTGTTTATGAGGATATGTGGGAAAGATAACAGTTAACCTTAGCCTTGAACAGATTGAGATTGTAGTGATCAGGGAAGCATCCTCTTGGGAGTCAGTCCCACAAAATAGCGGTTCATGAAAAAAAGCTGCTCGAGTGGAAATTACGTCTCCAATCTACGAAGGAAATGAGCGGGTGGTCGCTACAATCTGCATGGCTTGGTGGGTCTTAGACGTAAAGGTTAGAACTGGTGGAACCCAGGAACGTAATTCGCCTAGGCACTTGGTTCAAAAGGACCGTTATTCCCCTGACACCGCTATTACTGTATATACTTGTGACTCTCTCGGCAATGTTTATTGTTTTGTCACAATTTGGTTTTTGTCACAACCTGGTTTTTGTCACAACCTGGTTTTTGTCACAACCTGGTTTTTGTCACAACTTGGTAAGGAGTGGGGGTGTCTGTAGTAGCAACATCAACGCAGTTTCAACTTAAGCCTTCTGTCAACCAAAGTGATCTTCAGATCTTTTATTAACACATAAACAACATGGCCGACAAGTACTTCCGTGCCTAAAGAATAATCTGAAACAATGTTTCCGTTTCCTTATTTCCCAGTTACAACAGTTTTTAAAAAGTGACGATTAAAATTTCAATATAAACCCAAAATCTGAAAATGGATTTATACATTTTCTTTATTCTTGAGAAATGATAACAAAGATGTTAAACACCGTTTATTTATTTGATATAATAAAAAATCGTTTTCATAGTCCTTTATAAAATGGCAAATAATAAATATTGCATTGTAATTAGTTCTTATATTTTGAATATTTGGCATTTTTTAAAATTCTTAAATAAAAAGAATTATCTTCAAATGCATTAATATACAAAGATTAATAAAAAAAATGTTATCTATTTGGCATTGAGTCAATAATGTTTTACGAAACACTGGATTTTCCATTATCAATCAGATTTCGACAAGCAGTGAGACAATGTTGAGAAAGCTTTTAGTTTTTAAATTTAAGTAAAATAAATTGTTCCATGGACAACAGTATTTCAGAAAAAAAATCAAAAAATTACTTCCAACCAGACAATCCATTTTTCATTGGTACAACTGAAATTATTTATGATATTAACACTAACGATGCCCAATTTGTTAGAGAAACTCTTTGTTTATTTAAGCAACTTACTGTAACATTGTGCAACCCTTTATTTACGCGAATGTTTTTATTTCTTCTACCAATTGTAGTCGGATTTTGATTATCAGTTCTTTTCTAAAACTTGTTATGAAATGTCGTTGTCCAACAGAAACAGACTTTGCTTTGTCTGAATTCACTCATTGTATGGAGATCTTATGCATTTGACAAAATATTCCAAGAACTTCAAAACTCATTCCAAAACAAGAATCAGAAAAATGTCTTTAGACGAAATATTCTTCTTCTTTCATATGCCGTGTCCCTTCAGGACATAGGCGATCTTGGACTATTTCCAAAATATTTCATAATGTCCTGGACTATTTCCAGATGGATTCAAAATGTCCTGGACTATTTCCAGATGGATTCAAAATGTCCTGAACTATTTCCGGATGGATTCAAAATGTCCTGGACTATTTCCAGATGGATTCAAAATGTCCTGGACTATTTCCAGATGGATTCAAAATGTCCTGGACTATTTCCAGATGGATTCAAAATGTCTTGTAATATTTCTAGATGGATACAAAATGTCTTGGACTTTTTCCAGATGGATTCAAAATGTCCTGGACTATTTCCAGGTGGATTCAAAATGTCCTGGACTATTTCCAGATGGGTTGAAAATGTCCTGGACTATTTCCAGATGGATTCAAAATGTCTTGGACTATTTCCAGATGGATTCAAAATGTCTTGGACTATTTCTAGATGGATTCAAAATGTCTTGGACTATTTCCGGATGGATTCAAAATGTCCTGGACTATTTCCAGATGGATTCAAAATGTCCTGGACTATTTCCAGATGGATTCAAAATGTCTTGGACTATTTCCAGATGGATTCAAAATGTCTTGGACTTTTTCCAGATATTTCAAAATGATGGATACAAAATGTCTTGGACTTTTTCCAGATGGATTCAAAATGTCCTGGACTATTTCCAGATGGATTCAAAATGTCTTGGACTATTTCCAGATGGATTGAAAATGTCCTGGACTATTTCCAGATGGATTCAAAATGTCTTGGACTATTTCTAGATGGATTCAAAATGCCCTGAACTATTTCCGGATGGATTCAAAATGTCCTGGACTATTTCCAGATGGATTCAAAATGTCTTGGACTATTTCCAGATGGATTCAAAATGTCCTGGACTATTTCCAGATGGATTCAAAATGTCCTGGACTATTTCCAGATGGATTCAAAATGTCTTGTAATATTTCTAGATGGATACAAAATGTCTTGGACTTTTTCCAGATGGATTCAAAATGTCTTGGACTATTTCTAGATGGATTCAAAATGTCCTGGACTATTTCCAGGTGGATTCAAAATGTCCTGGACTATTTCCAGATGGATTCAAAATGTCTTGTAATATTTCTAGATGGATACAAAATGTCTTGGACTTTTTCCAGATGGATTCAAAATGTCTTGGGCTATTTTTAGATGACAGTGATTTTTTGAAGCTTGTTCGGAATTGCTGTTACACAACAGTAACAAAATTTGTTTTACCATAAATCAATGGCAAAAAATTTTCACAAAAGAATTTGCAAACAAATTCCTTCACTGTTTGCCGAAAACTCATTGATAATGTAAAAAAAAATGGTGCTGCTAAAAACCTTATTAGCTCCCTGTCAAATGTCCTATTATGTTATATTGCTGAAATAGTATTTAAGAGATTTTTTTTACAAAAATGTGAGTGTCAATAACATAGTTTGGGTCTCATGAAAATTTAAAAATTTTTCCTTTCATTTTCGATTATTTTTCAATTTCTTTATTCTTATGTTTCGTTTATTTTATTTTATTAATTTTTTTTTTCTAATACCCCCGGGCGTATGTGGGGGTAAGGAAAAAATGGAATCCGTGAGTGAGCCGAGTTCAAATTACGGCATTCACTTTCGCAATAGTGCGTGTGAGAAAGAGGCATAAATCCCACTCTTCTTCTTTAACCCAAACGCAACTATGGTTTGGACTCCCTAGCCTTGGTTAGCAGCCAGTTTAGGTGAAGAGTTAATCTGAATTCAAAACTACTTCATTATCTTTCCACAAACGTCCCTGGCAGTTCAAAGAAAGGGAATTTGTGAAGATTCAGGATCAAACAAACTGGCGTACAAGGCGACTGGTGTACAAGGCGACTGTGCTGTATAAGACAACCAAAAAAAATTTTAAGTTAAAATGTAGATTTCCAGATATATTCGCCATACAGTACGACCTCCCACCCCAACAAAAAAATCGTATTTTAAAATATATTGTATTTATTAAATGAATTCAATAAACTTTTTCACTCAAATTCTAATGAAAAATGATGGGGAGATACCACAAACTACAACACCCCATGAGTGCTGTTTTCAGTAGGCTATTACGGTCGCCTGAATGACCTTTCCCCGATAACGATCCACTCATTCCATTGTTTTCGAATGCGATCTTTAAACGGCTTGTTGAGACACACACCCAGTTGTGTTTTTGTTCAACTATTCAAATATTAGTTACCAAGGCGGGGGTTGGCCTACCGTCAAAAATCTTCCATGCTAATAACTTAACGTAAACCACAAGATTTAAAGTTCAAATTTTATACCTGGAATATAAGACGGTCCTATTTTGGGTGGTGGAGGCGATTTTTTAATGTTAGAAGGTCGTCTTGTACGCCAACATATACGGTAGGTCATGAATGAAGATGGCATTAAAAAGTGCGTTTGAACTCTAAAAAAATATTTTTTTATCGTTATATTGTGATATTTTCATAATTTCTTCGTTAACTGGCACTAAAAGATAAATGGATTTTTAACATAAGCTGAATAATTGGCATTACAAGAAGAAGGCCGAAGACCGGAAGTGTGTTCTTAGGCTGAATCCTGTGAACAATGAGGAAGAGTGTGTGGTTTGTTAAAAATAGCCGTGCCACTTCAAGAGGCATGATTGCGCAGACTTTGGATAATTGCACAAGTGGTGAGACTGGGTCAGCCAAGAGGCGATGTGGTTAGAACAGAGAACAGAATTTTGCATTCATGTCTTTGAGTATTGTCTTCCAGAATCAGTAAAATAATTTACACAGACACAAACAGAATGAAAACATTTTCATTTTCGCGATAAAGGCGATATTTTCTTTACACTAAATATTCATTTAATATAAAAACTAAGAGACACTTAAGTGAAAAAGTTTAATTATAGAGGCTGCTAATTGAGCATAAGAGGGGGGGATAAAGTGAAATTATGAGGATATGTAGGATAGAAAACGGCTGGCAATAGGGTGCTGCTAAAAACCATATTCTTTTTCCTTTCATTTTAGATTATTTTTGGCAAGTAGTCAAGAATGTATTGATCGGGTTTTTTGATTGATTGAATCGTTTTCTACGGCTTACAAATTCTTTTACAGGTTATTTAAAGCCAGAAAATATTTTTAGATCGTAAGAACATTTTTTACTATAATGATACAAGTCAGTGATACAAGTCTTACAAATCGGCCCATAGATTGAGGAAGAATAGGTGGGTTCATGCCTTTTCCCAAGGGTATTTGCGCGTAAGAGAATATAACGAACCCAAGCGGAATTGGAACCAGGCTCTCCGATTAATAATCCACAGCCATTATCCATTTCACCACCCGCACATCCAAGTTCACAGCACCAGGTATTCTCAAGTGCTCACCCATCTACGTACTGACCAGGCTCAACGTTACTTAACTTTGGTGATCTTACGGGAACTGGCGTTTCAACGTGATGTGGCCGTAAGCCGTAGTGTTCTGGGGAGCATCCCCACGGGAGTCTGTTACACAAAGTAGTGGTTCTCGGAAAGAAGCTGTCTGAGTCAAACTTCCTTCTTACCAATGAAATCCGAAAGGATTTAAGATGATTCGACTACGTGGGTCTCAGAAATTAGGCTGAACATTTGCCATGGAAATAGCTGCGCGAAAAGGGGGCTGTAAGGTTGAAAATAATTTATCGCCCACAAAACTGCGTAGATGTTCGATCGAGGCTGGAAATTGAGGATTGTGAAGCCCCATTCCAAATATGGCATCAAAACTTTATTTTTGGTCTTATCAGACTTTCGCAAAGCTATAGCGTAGCAGGAGGAGACAGTTACACCCAGGAGGGATAAAAGAAACAGGCAATTTTCCCAGGCTCTTTAGTAATGTATGTGAGTCCCACCTGAGGGTCTGGGGTGAACTTGAGCCCCAGTAGACGTCCAATGAGACTAATTTTGAATTTAACCGGTCGCCATGACTATAACAAATTCAATGTCTGCTCAGTGATAATGGAATTTTACTACGTTGGTTTTAAAGATGTCGGATGTTACAAGTCTATAGACATAAAAAAGGAGACTATCGTAACTAAGCACACCACGTAACCCTTACAATGGGAACAAGATCAAAAAAAATATTAAAGTAAATCTCGGCCCTATATAAGAATGCAGCCGAAGCCACTCTGGGTAATCACATCGACCATACACAGGTGCGAAACACTATAATACCAATAGCAATTGCTATTCATTCAGAGCAACACAAGTGAGATAAAAGATGTCTTGTTCACCAAACACTAACTACGTCGACGGCAGGAAAAAACACGTAACTATATATATATATATATATATATATATATATATGAACATTGAAGTCAACACTCATAGACGACAGGCTGTTTCATGCTAGACGCAATCGTCAAGCCTGTATTTATATTTACATAGGCTCTAACTCTGATAGTGAGCACTTTATCCGATAAATATAGCACACCTTAAAACTATATTTCTGCATATATATATATATATATATATATAGAGAGAGAGAGAGAGATATATAGATATAGATATAGATATTAAGACATATATATATATATATATATATATATATATATATACACTAGCTTAAAAGCTAGCTCCTGCGAAGGGCTCTTGATTGGGCCTTTGGCTTGTTTAAGAAGTTTGAGAGTCCCAAATTCTCTGCATATTCTCAGTAATGGAATCTCTCCTGGTTGCTGTTTGATCTGGGTTTTCATTTGCATGGAACTTTCTTTTCCTCGCTGCAGCCTTGGCTCTTTTGATTGCAATCTGGTCCTCTGATTTCAATTTCCAAGGCATACTGCTGCCGTTTGCGATAGGCAACAATAAACTGCAGAAGTACTCAAAATTGATTGCTGCATTTAAATATTGCATTAAGATGTGAGTTTACCTTTTATGTGTTCCACTTAATTTAAAGATAATTTGATGTACGTAGGCCCTTACTTTCCGTACAAACAATTATTTTTATTTCATGGGTGACTTTCGCTGGATTTCGCAAATAATTTCGATTATTCCTAAGTTTATTTCCAAGTTATAAAAATTGTTATCGTACAAAAAATTCGTCGCAGAAAATCACGTAAAAAATGAAATCGCCAAAAACAATGTCAGTAATGAAGAATTGGGAATCCAAAATTTCAGAATTGCGGGTTCGGAGTCAGCCTGATTCCAAAATGGTATTTTATGTTGGGGTACTGCTTCTTGGGGTAAAAGTAAAAAAATTATTTATATAGATATATGACTCCATGCCTACACATATTACAGTAACACTCATATTACGTGTTACATATTACAGACACAACCACACATCCGTATATACAAGGACAATTGTTTTCTCAAACTCTATTGCAACAGACCTTTTACAAACATTTTAGCCCTTCTAAGAACAACATTTGTCTTTCACGTAATTGTTACCATTATTGTTATTAAATTGTATTCAAACTGTCAGACGTTCCTCGTTTTGATATAACAATGATGCTTTTTTCGCCTTTTTTTCTCTCGTCTGACCTCAGCTACAGTATCACATTCCCATTACGGAAAAGGTAAACGCCTTACCGTCAAAACAGGGCCAGCAACAATCAGCAGCAACCGCCAAAGTATTAAAAAATTATTGATTTTGAAATTAACTACACCGTGGCGTTATGAATACTATGATCTCGTCTGAAGTCAACCTGTGCTCTACTGTATTGTACTCGTATAGTTACAGGATCATAAGAAAGACGCTCTCACCAGACGTCCATATTCTATACTGATTGACATCAGTCGATCGAAAATGTCATCGCAACAATAAAAGCAATGAAAAGTATTAAGCAGAAGAAAACTTACCTTCCAGCTTGACTTATCGGAATTGTCCAATAAGGTGATCGATTCTCCTTCAATTATGTCAAACTGTTTAAAAAGAAATAAAGGTGAAAACGATGAAAACGGAGACAATTAATGTCGGCAGACGACATATATTTGCTATCACTAACATATTGGTCGCCTAGTCGTGCCTCCAATTTACTAAAGTTGCTTCACAAAAATATTTTTATACACATGATTGAATGAGGGCAAAGCACGTAATCTAATCAGGTTAGTTAAGTACATGCAAGAAGAGTGACTAAGACTGAGAATGCTGGTCCTGATAGTATATAATAATGAGAATTCGTCATATCAAATAAGCAATTTATATTGGATTTTCTACATCTGACCATGAGACAAAACAACAATATATATATATATATATATATGTGTGTGTGTGTGTGTGTGTGTGTGTGTGTGTGTGTGTGTGTGTGTGTGTGTGTTATAATTTTTTCAAATAGACAAAAAAGTTTGCTGACTACAAAGATGCAACTTCGTTTCAGTGTATTTAGTTGCACCTCGACTGGTGAGAACCAAAATATTTAAGAACATTTAATGTATTGTATTTGTTAGAATTATAAAGTGGCGTGAATAATCCTTAGTTATTTATATTTAACCGAAACCTTTATTTCTCTGATGTTGTTTTTACCAAGTGGTTGTAATTTTCGGAGTTAGAGGAAAGCATTTTTGTTATGTTGATCTTTGACTAGCAACCCATTATAGCCGATTTTTTTAATATTTATTATTCAAAGATTCTTTTAACAACATTTAGTATGAATTTTATTTCTTTACATTTTCTTACTTATTAATTGTAAGGTGCAATTAATAAATAAATGCAATCAAATGCATTTTGGTGTAAATAAAACAGTGCCCAATGCAAAATAACAGAGCTATTAAGTTATATTAATGGATATACATAATACACCCACGCCGACAGTACGACTCGCAATCAGAAGGTAACAAGACTTGATATCAGTTCTCAGTGTGTGTGTGTGTGTGTGTGTGTGTGTGTGTGTGTGTGTGTGTGTGTGTGTGTGTGTGCGCGTGTGTGTTAAAATTTTATATGAGATATTTTATTACGCCGGGAACACTAGTCCGAGCTCAATATTTAACACGTGGCCAAATAGTTAGAAATTTAACGTTTCGACTACGACACCCGAATCTCACCCTGATCGCTTTGTCATAGAATATAATGATTGTCCGATCGTTGATTGATGAGTAATGACTTCAATCCCATAAAACAAGATTTAGGCCCCATAGAATAACTAAGCTGGTATCAAAATGACATCGATGTATTTATCTTTAAAATTACGAGGGTTGGTTGATAAATTATTTTCCTATAAAACAAGTTTTAGACCAGATAGAATTATTAAAGTTGTATCAAAATTTAAAAGCATGTTATTCCTCTTCAAAATTACGAGAGTTGTTTGATAAATTAGTTTTCCAATCCTATAATTCTTGTAGGATTGGAGATTTAATATATTAAAAGCTTTTGTAATTAAAAATGTCATAGTTTTGATGCATTTTTTTATTTTTTGATTCAGAGCAGATTTTCGGTAAATGGTGTTTCTGCTTGACAAAAACAAATTCAGGATTTAAATTCTTCAAGGAATCCTGTTTTAACTAATATAAACACGAATATCCTGGAATTTTAATTTCTCGAAATTTGATAAAATTAAGTAAGGCCACAGATGTGAAAAAAATATTTTTGCCAAGATTTTCTAAAAGAATATTTAAAAATTAATTTCATTCATGTGTGAATTTTCAAAGTGATTTTTTTTTACCGCAAAAAAGACGCTATATTTCCTAATACTAATCATTGGACAACCCACTGACGAAAAAAAAAACATGATTTTAACGTTTTACGTTGTCATAATAGAAAATGAATCTGATTCAGGTTCTTTAATATGTTTCTTAAATGCTTGAAAGGTTATTGCTACTTTAGACATAACTTGAACGTAGTCGCCATGATTAATAAACTAATGAACGCCATTAATACCGTCGCACAAAAAAGAAACTGGCAGCAAGCATGTCTGAATAGAGATTTATGTATTATTGAATATATGTTTATATTCCACTATTAACGCCGCCACGCGGTAAGACAGCTTATTTGTTAAGTAGTCTTAAGGAAAATATCTACCTCGTCAGTCCGATAGTCCGTCAATGCCGTGGCTGGACGAGATTCCTCGATGGGGATGACTCTTTGAGCAACAGGTAAGACATTTTTGGCTCGATCGAACAACGAATCGATTTTTCCTTGCCACTGGATATAAGCTGACAAAATCTCCTGCAAAGAAAAATCAATGAAACATTATTTTACCTTTTCAAAGAACTCACACACACTATACATAATGACTTAGCTTCTTTTTTTTTTTATTTAATCATTTCAACCCAACGAAGGCAATAAAGTCACTAAGACACGAGAGGCGACTGAGTGTGAGAGAATATGAGAAAAATAAAACGTTATTAAGAAGAGAGGACAAGAAAAAGAACAGGATTTAAGAAGACAGAAGGCAAGGATTGGCATTGCATTTGAGTTTTTGAAGATCAAAGTTGACTGGGGAGCAAACGAAAAGTGTAAGAAAAGCAGTTAGAAAGATAGAATGAGAACGAGAGAAAGTGAGAGAGAGAAAATGAGTAGATAGATAGATAGATAGATAGATAGATAGATAGATAGATAGATAGATAGAAAGTGAGAGAGAGAAAGAGAAAATGAGTAGATAGATAGATAGATAGATAGATAGATATGGACAGACTAATAGATAGATAGATAGATAGATAGATAGATAGATAGATAGATAGATAGATAGATAGATAGATATGAACAGACTGATAGATAGATAGATAGATAGATAGATAGATAGATAGATAGATAAACTGTGCTGCCAAATAATAACATCGATTATCAAAATGTGTTGCAAAAGAAAAAAATCTTTCGCTGACCTTCATCTCTTCTTTCATCGATTGTACATCCATCATATCCCCTTGCAGTTTTGAACGATCAAATGTCAAATGAATATTGGCCAGCGTATTCTTCATCCAATATTCAGCTTCTTGGGCATCGTGGAAGAACTGAAGAAAAAAAAATATTCATTTTCTTATTTTTTTTTGTTTTGTTTTTTGAATCTTATTCCAAGTTGTAACTGAAAGTAATCGATGACATTGAAACAAAATATTTTGATGCGTTTAATTTTAAAACAAATCTGCTCAAGCGTAAAAAATGCTTGGTGTATTGATCTCATTGCTTCACAGAATGTGATTTCATTTTAGTACTGATAAAAAAAAAACTAAATTTATAATCCTGAGTGCTTTTTTTTTACTTCACTTTACCGTGAGAAATTGATTAAATTACAAAATCATTCAAGTCTTGTTTGAGGAAATTATTATAAAAAGCTGATTTTTTTTAATGGCAAAATCTAAAATTCTGTTACTTAATAATTGAAAAGATACTATTAAAAGAAAATACTGACAGAGTCGTTAAATTCACAGTGTTATAAGAAAAAAATCTCAATCAAATTATAATTAGAATATATATATATATATATATATATATATATATATATATATATATTCAAATTTATATCAAACATTATAATCTTTATGAACCCCCAAAATAACACTTTCAAAGTAAAACAAAATAACAGCGTCTGTTTCTAGCCTTTTTTTTTACAAAGAAAATTAGTGACACCTTCTCTCATAACTTCCTTCTCTCTTTTTCTCTCTATGGTTTTTTTCTTCTCTACCCCTTCGATATCAATATATAACTTCCGTTAAGTTAACCGTTTAAATGTGTCAATATCTGCTAACTCACTCATGTCTTCTCTCTCCCCCCTCACTTCGTTATTTTACATATGTTTAATATGGCCCATCAAAAATGTGTAAATTTTTTTTTCATGTTTTGTTTGGAAGTAAAGTCTGATGATCCGCAGTCCTTTAAAAGGGCTGTGGTGAAATAATTTATTACATGGAACCTTAAAGTGGTCTGTTATATATATATATATATATATATATATATATATATATATATAGAGAGAGAGAGAGAGAGAGAGAGAGAGAGAACGAGAGAGATTACACAACAAAATCCAAAAGTACCTGATATGGGGGGTATAGATCTATTTCAACCAACGAGAAGTACGTTAGTCTCATTCAACCCCAGTATATCGACTGTGTTCGTGTTGGAATTAGAAATTTAAAATTTAACTTTGACAGCAGTCAAAAATTTGATATAGAAATTATCCATTTCGATGTTTCAGTGAGACGAAATGCTCGAGTCGGTGGGAGGAGAATCTTGAAAATAGCCCAAAGTCTAGACATCCTGCGACAGCCAACACCGAAGAAAACATTGAGCGTCTTCACTACACGATGATGGATGACGGCCGATTGACTATAAATCAAATAGCTAATGTTATTAGCATCTCCCGCGATGGACTTGAGAATATTCCACGCAATGAACTCGACATAACAAAGGTTTCTGCTCGGTGGGTGTCACATCTTCTGACACCTGATCAAAAGCGTACCAGGCTGATCACATTAAGGGAAAATCTGACATTATTTAAGGCAGGATGACTCATCACCTTGAGCCAGAGACAATCATTACAGTGGAAAGACGCTTTCTCACCTGCTCCAAAAAAGACCAATGTCGTTTCATCTACAGGAAATGTGATGGCCTCGTTTTTGTTGTATTTTTTTAGATGTAAAAAGCATTGTGTTTACTATCTTCAAAAGGGCCACACCATCAATGTAGAGTACTATGTCAATTTTCTGAGGCAGTTACGAAAGTCTCTCAAGATCAAACGCCCAGCAAAACTGACGAAAGGGGTTATGTTTCATCAGGACAATACTCCAGCACGCAAGTCCTGGGTTTTAATGGCTGCTGTGTGTGAAGTTGGCTTTGAACTAGTTAATAACTCTCCTTATTCTCTTTAGTATCATCTGTCCCCAACATGAAAAACACTTGGCTACGAACCAGTAACACAGTGAGGATTATATCATATCTACAGCTGATTGGTTTTTGTTTTTTACCAACAGGATGGACAGTTTTCTTTGAACTGTCAGATGTCAGTTTGGATGGAATAAAACAATTCACTTATTAATAAGAACTGAAATTAATGCATGTAAGATTTCACAGTTCTAGCATCACTCCTTCATAGTCAGCCGATGAACATTTCAGCCCACCTTCGTATAGGATAATGATTACGATGAGTAACGACTTAACACCTAATTCACACAAGATGGAAGATTTGCTTTATTTTTTACATGCTTAAATTCGCAAATCGTGCTTAATCTACAAAGAGGAGAAACACACACACACATATATATATATATATATATATATATGTATATATATATATATATATATATAAAGAAATATAGTCTTAAGGTGTGCTATATTTATGGAATAAAGTGCTCAATATCAGAGATAGAGCGTGTCTAAATATAAATATATGTAATCGTCAGGCCTGACGATTGCATATAGCATGAAACAGACTGTCGCCTCTAAGTGTTGACTTCTATGTTCACTTTTTATATATATATATATATATATAGATAGATAGATAGATAGATAGATAGATAGATAGATAGATATAGTATTGAACAACAAAATCCAAAATTACCTCTTATTGGGAAGGTGTTGGTGTATTTCAACCGACGAAAACGTCGTCAGTCTTATTCAACCCCGGTGTATAGACTGAGTTCATGTCGGAATTAGAAATTGAACTAATTTCGAATTCCGACACGAACTCAGTTTATACATCGGGGTTGAATAAGACTGACGACGTTTTCGTCAATTGAAATAGATGTATCCCCCATATGAAGTGATTTTGCAGTTTTTTGTGTAATATTATTTATTGGCTCTGTTATAATAAATACATTGAGCTCTCTTTGTGAATCAGTTTTAATATTTTCTATCACTAGGATCCACTTGCATCATATACCAACAGAAACAAGGCGAACAGGGTACTCTTCTTAAGTTTTTTATTATGTTTTTATTTTATGCCAAATAATAGTGTTTTCTTCTCTAGACATAATACGGGTAAGAACTGACCAAATATTTGTTGATTCCGAACACTTTCAGCTCAACAATTAGTCATTTTAAAGAATATTAGTTATAGTACTATAATAATTGGTATGAAAGTGGTATTGTACTCAGTTTAAAAGATACTGAAAAGTAAGCCTATTCTTAAATTCCGAACACGGGCAGTACATTGTAAACATGTTCATAAGAGATGTTCGTACGCCCTTTTTTTATATTAAGAGTTTTCATTATTTTTAAGCGCTTAAAAGAAAACACCTGTTCGCACACAAGAAAATATAATAAAAACTAAAGAAAAATAGCTTATCAATAGGGCTGGATTATCCTTTAGGCTAGTATAGTCTGCAGCCTAAGGACCTGGGCCGGATTATCTTTTAGGCTACTATAGTCTGCAGTCAAATTTTTTTTTATCCTCCTTACCACGTTCGAAATTTTAGTTATGTTTTTGCATCAGCGGCATACACATTTCTTATTTATTTTTTATCAAATCAGATTAATTTAACTTTAAATTTGCTCATTTTCTTCAACGTTTCAGAAAAATATATAATATTTTTTTTAAATTTTAAAAACGAGAATTAACTTTCGTTTACAAAAAAATGGCAAGATTTTTTATCACTTTTTTCACTGACAGAAAAAAAAATATAAAAAGCATTTTACTAATCAATATATAATTTCTGTTTCAAATGCACCAGAGTATTTTGCTTACTGAAAATAGTAAAAATTTATAATTTAATCATGTAGCTTTCAATTAAAACTAATATGAAAACTTCAAGAAAGTTTTTTCATTTTTATTTTTTAACATTCATTTTTAAAACTTAGGCATGGAGAATTAGTGGAGATACCTGTCACAATTTAAAATAAAACGAAAAAAGAAAACTAATTTCAAATGTAAATGAAATAAAGTATAAAAATAATGAACCAACATTAAGTTTAAAATGAAATAAGTGTTACGTTTCAAACTTTTTTTTATCAAAATATAACCCACAATAAAGAATAAAGAAACTTAAAATTTAAAAAAACTAAATAAAAACAAATTATTTTTCTTAACCAAGTAAAACTAAAGATTTATCAGCGTAATGGAGGACAACCTTTGAAAACGTAACCTGACAATGTGAAACACGATGCTTAAAAAAGAACATTTTGACACACAAAAAATTATTTTTAATTAGTGTAAATAATTTTGGTGGGATGAATTTGTATTAAGCTTTTCAATTTTTGCTTAGTAAATATAGTCTTCACTTAAAAACTTAGCAACCTAACTTTGACGATGTTTAGAAGAATTTTTAAAACATTTTTGAAAATTTATAATTAAAAAAAATTCAAACAATTCTTGTAAATATTCATTATTAATCGAATTTTTTTTTTCTTTAGACTATAATGTCTTTAATATATATTATTTATAAAAGCAATTAAAGCTTGCAACGGACCCCCTGGAGGGGAGTCGCGATATGAAACCACGGCCCGAGCACCCCCGTATCGTAAGGTGATAAGGTCACAAGAGGCCCGCCAACGTTTTTCGTATTAAAGACGTGAAATCTGATAAGGTGAAACAAAATGGACAACAGAACGAAGATATGTTTAATTAATGCAAAGGGAGACCAACAACAGAGAAGTTTCATTAAAATCCGACAACTATTTGATTTTTGCTAGAATTTCAAAATTAATGTGTTATTTTACCGGAAATGGCTGCACGAAAATATCCATTACCAGCTCTGTTACAACGTCGACAGACACACAAACAACAAAAAAAAACAAAAAAAAAACAAGATATTTGACATAAATTTCGAACGTGTTAGAAAGGAGTCAAAAATTTTCAAAGATAATTAAAAAATACTTAGGTCTTTCTTTTTAATAATAACATAAACATTTTGACGATAAAACATTCTTTTTATTAAGTTTATTAAACTTAAAAAACAATGTTTTATAATGGTATGCTCTTTTTTCAGCGAATTAATGTAGGTAGCTAGATAGATATGTATGTATGTATGTATGTATGTATGTAACTCAATCGCTCTCTCTATTTCTCTCTATCTCTCTTTCTTTGTTTCTCTCTCCATGTACATTACGTTTTGAATAAGGCTTCTTGTGTCATAACAGTTTTTTTTTCCCATTTATATTCAATTGCCTGTTTTCTTTAACAAATCTTTTCGTGCATTTGTGCATAAATAACAAATTTTTAAAAATAAAAACTGGAATGATTGAAACAATTCCATACAAAATGCTAAGAATTTTTATTGACTAAAAAAAAATTATTGTGACTCAAGGGGGATAACTGCGTATGACTTTTAAATACTTGAATTATTTCCCTTTAGATTTAACCATTTTTATTTCGAACCTGTCATGATGTAATGGTGTAAATGCTGTATTTGATTTTCATGGGGTGTTGCATAAGTATGATCTTGACCTGCGCTTACTAAATAACCACGATATGAGAATGTTCTATTAAAATTCGACTGAGCTAATAACAAGAATTAGTTCTTTATTTTTATATTTTAAATATTTTTTTTTATTTTAAAAATAAACTTTCTTTTAAACCAATTTTTAAAAACTCAGTTATTTTCTAAACTAGTGACCAATTTTATTTTTCATAATTGTTCACCAAATACGCGGATAAAGTCCCACTCAACTCAGAGGATTACAAAATGGAGATGTTGCAAATGTGTATAGGGAAGGAGTAAGGGTTGCATATTATGAGGATATGTAGGATAGAAAAAAGTTAAGATTGTGATGGCCAGGGAAGCATCTCCTCGGAAGTTTTTCTAAAATACAACAGTTCTAGGGAAGAAGCTGTCTGAGTGGAACTTCCTCCTTCCAATAGAATGTGAGGGGAAATGAGAATGAGTCCAATCTATGTATATAGCATAGCGGCTTCTAGCTGTGAAGGTCTGAACTGGTAGAAACAAGAAATGTGGTTCGCCTGAACATCCGAAGTGGTAGAATAGTAAAGCAATGTTTCATCTGTAGAAAAAGGAGCTGAAGGGTGGAAAACAGATCATCACCCACAAGGCCGCGCGATCGCTCTTGAACTCTATCAAGACTGAAAAGTGAGGACTGGGTAGCTCCAGCTGAGATTTGCCAGCAATAGTCGACTTCCGGTCTGAATTGAACAAAGCAAAGATAGGGCATGGTAGGAGGTGTCCGGTACTATCTGGCGCGGTAAGGGGAGACAACTTTTTTTTTCTAGCATCTTTCTCGATGGATCATATATACGAGTCCCACCTGAGCTCTGCAATGAGCTTGATTCCCAACGGTCGTTCCAAGCAAAGGAGACTCACTGAAAATACGACTGTTCATCTGGACTGAAGAAAACTCGGGGTCTGCTCGGTGATGATTAAACGTTACTAATTTGGTTTTTGGAGATATTGAATGTTACAAGCCAGTTCTTCGCCCATTGAGATTCAGTCTAGTAGTAGCACTAGTAGTAGTAACGGTAATAGCAGTAGTAGTTTTGAGAGAGAGAGAGAGAGAGTGGTCATCACGCCAACAAATTGATGCTGGGGTACACATATAAAAATCTCAATGTACCCATCAGAGCACTCAGTTTTATAACTGTATATGTATACCATGCACATGCATCACAGCCAAATGTGCGCGATATGGTGAGAGGTTTTTATAAAAGCAGATCATACCCTTGCAAGTGGGGCCCTGTTAAAACAGGTCTAGTAATACAGTAGGCACGCACGGTCTTCAACCGAGCGTGTCCCCCAAGTATCTAGATGTGACTCCCAAGTAGCCATGGCTGCCTCACAAAAAAAAAACAATGATGCTTTCCCACTACTCTTGCTTATGAATAGAGATACACAGCGAATCGGCCCCAAAGGTGGGGGTATGCCCAACTTGTTATGGTCGAGAAACTGAAAGACTAAATCTTTTTTACTGAACAGGATATTTACTTTAGCCCATCTTAATTCATTAAGACAAAATATGTATATGTTGACACCGCCAATCGATTAAAAAACCATGAGAGCCACGCTTGATGTGAAACAGAGAATTATCAACATCATCATTACTTTTTATTTCTTTTAATTTCGGTGGAGTAATGGATAGCGGCTCAGATTGAGGAATCGGAGAGCCGAGTTCGAATTCCAGCCAAAATCCATTACATTCACTTACGTTCTAATACGCTTGGGAAAAGTATGAATCTTCTTCTTCCACCCCCACCCCACCCCCAACTAGCTATGGGTAAATAGCAGGACAGACCGGATTCTGTACCCATGGATGCCAACTGGCCTACCGCAGAAAGAAATGGCAACCAACTGCGAGAAAAAATCTGCTTCGTCATTCATGTATCGAAAGATACATGATCGCCTAAGTGTGCATCACGCATGATACATAAATAACTGTATATATATTTCTTTCTGGGTCCCAAACAGAGACTTAAGGTCAGAAAAATCTTCATAACATTTTCCACTGAGCATTTTTGGAAAAAAACTAATACGTATTTTAAACAGATAACGCTCTTCGTAATGTGTGAGGTGTACTTATGAATACAATTTATTGTATTTCTTTAAGGCATGGGCTTCCAGGAATCCCTTCAATGAATCTAATGGAACCTTTTCCAATCAATCTGAGGGCTCCAACTACAACTGAAATTATTGATGTCCTCACGTGCCACATTTTTGAGATTTCTATTTCAAGGTTCTTGCATTTTGATAGTTTTTGGAAGATCTTCAAACATACAATACAATCTGCAGGGGCGGCCATGTCAATAAGAAAGCAGATTCTGTTCTTGTGGTCTCTGATCACAATGTCTGGGCGATTAGCATTGATTGTTCTGTCTGTGTGTATTGCGAAGCCCCATAAATTGGTACAGGCCCGAGGCCTGTGACTGGGTCTGGGTGGTGTTCATACCAATTTCTTGCAATTTCCTTCCCGTAAAAATTGCATATTTTCCAATGCGGATATTGGCCCACTCTGTCATGCCGGGTTTTATATTCAGTCGATGCCAATACCGTGAAACCTTATACAAGATGATCAAGTGTTTCTGAATATTTATCACAGAATCTGCATTTTGGGCATATTATTATTATTATTTTATTTCCTTTGATTTCTGGTGTGTACACATTTCTTTCCGAGTCCCGCCAAAAAACCTGATGTCAGAAATGGCATCATGACATTTTCCACTGACAAAGAAAGAAAAAGAACAACAATACACATATCTTACATAGATAAAGCCCTTCGTAAGATGTGGGCTGTACTTGTGAGAACAATTTTTTGTATTTCTTTAAGGCATGGGCTTCCAGGAATTGTTTCAATGAGTCTATTGGAATCTTTTCCAACCAATCTGAGGGCTCTAACTACAACAGGGAGTCTTGATTATTATTTACATTATTGTCCTCATCTTTGTCGCCATATTTATCACAACGTTTCGGCCGTTGTACGCTCCGGCTTTCTTCAGGTGGTTGGAATTTCGAATTGAACCCTTTATTTCGCTCACTGGGGTAGACTGTTCTAGTTCCACGTGCCATGTTTGATGGATGTCAGTTATCAGTTATCTCCTGCTAATTTCCCTCTGAAAGTTCTCCACTGTCTTAACCGGGTATTGAACTCACACTCTTTGGGTCCTGTCACTGGATCTAACCAACGCCTTTATCCACTGTCCTTGGGAAATATAGACAGACTCTGAGGGATTGTTGATGTTCCCATGTATTATTATTATTATTATTATTATTCACCAAAATATCCTTTACCAATAGAAATGGAAGAAATTCTTTTTATATGTTTAATTCTTTAAACAAATTATTCGATTTATATTTATAACAGTAGACAGTAAACTATGTGTGTAAAAAATGAAAATAGTAAAGACTGTAAAAGGACTAATTTCGATATTAAATGTGTCAGGTGAGCAACGTCCTAATCTACATTTACCTGTCATTAACAATTCCAGTGAGTTTAATTCTTTGGCGAAAGTATTAGAACCCTAAACATTATTTTTGCATTTTGACACTCATCCAATCATCTACGGCTAATGGCATTGTTAGAAATCCCATTTTTGTTGAGAAAGTCTTTTTTTTATTGATTTCTTTTCTTACCTGGTGGAAATCAGCCGCATTGTTGAAATGAACTTGGGCACACTGAAGCATTTTGCCAACCCACTGCCAATTCTTTCGAACAGCTAAGTTGCATTTCTGTTAAAAAAAGAAAGACTCAAAATTTTGGATTTCTTTTTTTATGTTATAATCGAAAACATGAAAACAGAAGTAAACCCTGCTTCGACGACAGCATTCCAAAACTCTTGTCTGAGATCCAAGATGCTGATATTAGAGAAATCCGAGTTAGTCGTGCAAGTTTTAGAAGCAGAAATGTCAAAGTGTAAAAGAGTAAAAAGAATGAAATCCAAACTAACTTACCAAAATGTCACGGGAAAAAGCATTGAGCAAACATTAAAAAAAGCAAATGAAAAAAAAAAGAAAGAAAAAGTCTATAAAAGAAAGAAAAAGTCTATAAAAGAAAGGAGTTTATCAGTCAATGTCGCATGAACTAAATTGAACTAAAAACTACAACAAAAAAATTCTCAAATTACCATATTAGTAAAAAAACGCACTCTCTTAAATTTTCAAAAAAAAATTCAACCTTAGCGTTGCGACTGCACGCTCCATAAGTTTGTATCCGTTAACAATAACACATTTAAAAAAAAATATTTCGATTCGCATTATATTTTTTCGTCTCAGATATTACCTGCATTTTACCAAAAACAAAATAATTTCCATGCCTGAAGATGACTGAATGTACAGTTGAAAGTACTTGCGTATTAAAGAAAGACCTTATACAGTAATTTAAAAAAACAAGGATTAAAAGAAAGACTTTAAAATTCTGTTTATACAGTTTATAATTCTTTTTATGAAGGATTTTGCTATTTTATAGCATTAACTTTACTAATGTCAAAATTACCTCATATGGCGTATAGACCTATTTTTGTATGATTGATTCATTGTAATATAAATTGAACTGGACCACATATTTGATAATAATTATATATATATATAACGATGGACATAAAAACAAGTCTTATCCAAAACAGATAAATGAAAATTTTAAATGATCAGCTTTCCGTTTGAGCGTGATCACGTTGTCGTCAAATGGGCGACTTATCACTGGTCTTACCAGGAATAACAAAAGACTACATTTTTAAAAAAAAAATTGATATAATGTATTCTTAAAATTTTTTATAAATTTGATTCCGATGGAAAGATTTTCATATATACAGTTCGTTAGAAAATGGATTAATAATTTTTTTGTTCTCATTCTATAGGAATACGCGGAGATTCTTCTAGTAGATTCCTGTCTCCGCGTATGTCCATCGTTTTCGCCAATTCTTACTCCCTCTCCTTTTATTCTTTCCTTTTTCTTTTTTCCTTCTTTGTTATACTGATTATGTTAATTGTATTTTAATGAATATTGTCCTGAAGAAGGTTATTAAACCGAAACGTCAGACGTCGACATTTCATTCATATTAAAACAACATAATCGCATTTTAAGGATTTTTGTTTTGTTTTTCCAGATATTTTCTTCCATATATCAAATATATATATATATATATATATATATATATATATATATATATATATATATATATATATACACAAAATTATTATAATTTTTATATTTAATTATATCAAATCTTCAAAATCTTATTTGCACTCTTTATATACAGATTATTATTCTTATTGTTTTTATTATCACAACGTTTCGACATTTTTTCTCTTCGGCCTTCATCAGGTGCTTGATGAGCCTAGTAAGCTTCAGGGAGTTTTTGAACTCTTTATTAAATCAATGGGAGTAAATTGTCCTCGTCTCGCTGGCCCTTTATAGAGAAGATAACTCATCTAATTCTTATTCTAGTACTGCTCAGTTATTGCTATTTTGAATTTCCACTGAGTTAAAATTTCAGTAACTGAGCAGGACTAAATCGAAACTACAGAGATATCACGAGACATGGAGAGCGAAACGAGAACTGCCTACACCCGTAGCTTAAATAAAGGATTCCGTTCGATATTCCTTGAAGTTTACCTGAATCAACAAGCATCTGATGAAAGCCTTAGGGTATAACGACTGAAACGTTATCATAACAAAAAAATGAGAGCGTGGTTTGCGTGAAAATAATGTAAAAAATGATAATTCCTCATCTCGGAAAATTTAGAGAGAAACATTAAAAAATAAATATTTAAAAAGAAAAAGTAAAAAAAGCAGATTTTTTTTTTTTCAGACAGATTCCTGGAATATTTTATCGGATATCTGACGGATAAAAAAGGAAAGAAAAATATATTTTGAAAATCTTACGTTAAAAATGATTAGTGAAATTGTCCAAAGAACGAAAAGTTTTGTCAACCCGCCACCAGAAAAGACTTTTTTTTTTTACTGGAACTCTTGCAATGTTAAAGGCATTCACAGTAATCTAACTGTAGAACCAAAGTCTTTCGTTCATTTAATAGGTTAGTTTATTAGTAACGCGTGCAGGATAAACGAGCGTGGTGAATAAAATGCACATTCCAGTGGGTTAAGGTGAGAGGAAAAAACCAGGGGTCGTTCTCTCTTTCTTACCTGTGCAGATTTCACAAGATTCTGATGGCTCATAACATTGCTTAGTTCGTGACCAACCTTTTCCTTCGAGCCAGAGTTCACAAGATGCACGGCCGTGGTGTCAAAGTTCAGAGAGAGGCTCTACGAAAAAAGGGAATAGGCTCTGTAGAAATTAACTTTCTCTACTTTCTTGCGTTCCATACGAGCAAAAGAAACATGCCTGTTTTGATGGAGACATTTTCAGCGCTGCGCGGCCATTTTGGTCATGGCCTAAGAACTATGGTCATGCATTGCGAGAAGACATAAATGAATAAAGGCGGAGAAAGACAAATAAGAAATAAAAAATATAACGAAGACTCGAAGAAGGTGAAAAATTTACTTTAATCAAGTTTGGTGTCTGGATAAATTTCGAAATGCAGCAAGTGAGATGCCAATGTTTTGTTTTTTTTTTTTGGGGGGGGTCAATAAATACGCGCACATTGTTAAACTATAAGTGAGTGTTACGAAGAAAGAAAGAAAGAAACAAACAAGGGGCGATAAAGAAAGAAAGAAAGCTAACAAACGAACAAAAGCTAAACAAAAGGAAAGGAGGACTTGATAAAGAAAGAAAGAAAGAATAAAAGCTAAACAAAAAGAAAGGAGGGTCGATGAAGAAAGAAAGATAGAAAGAAACAAGCAAACAAACAAACAAACAAAAGCTAAACAAAAGGAAAGAAGGGCGTGATGAAGAAAGAAAGAAAGAAAGAAGGTAAAAGAGAAAGAAAAAAGAAATCAAGGTGAATGAGAAAGAGAAAGAAAGAAGCAATGACGAAAGAAAAAAGAAAGAAAAGAAAGAAAAATATTATAAAATAAATATTAATATTGCTTAACTGACAAAGTCAATTCTCCTTAGTCACACCAGCACTGACTTTTACAATTTTGACCCATCACGCCATGTACACATAAGTGAATCACCCTCATTTCCCTTCGCATTCCATTAGTAAGGAGGAAGTCATACCCGGACAATATCTTTCCAAGAACTTCTGCTTTGTGGAACAAACTCCTGGCAGAATGTTTTCCCAATTATTTCAATCTTGGTCTCTTCCAGTCTAGGGTTAGCCGTTATCTTTTCTGCATAACCCCACGATAGCAGGGAGGGGTCAGGTACTTATTGGAGCGGTACATGAACCGACCATTTTTCCAGCATCTTTAGCAAGAGATCAAATAAAGGAGTTCTACTTGAGCCCTGGGATGAGGTTGCGTCCCAATAGTAATACAAGACAAGAAGCCACCTAGAGAGAATACACATCCATCATGATTGGTGAAAGTTCGAGGTTTGCTCGGTGGTGATGGAATGTTATTAATCTGGTTTTGGCCGGATTGGATTTTACACGACAGTCCTTTCCCAAAGGCAGAGGAGAGATGAGCTAGCTTCCAGATTTTGAGAGATGCACATATAAACTGTTGTATCATCTGCATAAATACTCACTAATGATCCGAATATACTCGTAATACAGAGTAGGAAGAGGTTAAGACCGAGGAAAGAAGCCTGAGGAACGTCGGTTTTGATCTTATGGGCTTCCAATGACGGGTCGTTAATAACGACCGTCAGGTGTCTCTCACAATCTTTTATATTCAGTTTGCAAGCGCGTACGTACAAAAAAGGATATCTCTATATACACACCTTCATTTAACTCTGTTGTATTCTTTTCATTTAGTTTTGTCAAAGTAATAAAATAGGGTCTCGTACGTTTTGGCGTCCCCCATTTGGTAAGGCTGATTCGGCGTCAGAAAAATAATTGGACTATTCGGTACAGCCGTTTAGGCGTCAGACTGTTTCGATGTCACTGTCTTTGACCGGAGGCACCTCCCCCAAAAAAGGATAAAAGCATTGAAAACATCCAACTTTCAATATGATTCATTTAAGGAATTAAAGAACTCTATTAAAATACTAATGGAATAATCTAAATTAAAAAAATAAATTATAAATATTGTATTTTAAAAAGAATTGTAAAACTTAGTAAAGCTATTTAATCTTAGAAATGACTTCTTCATTTCGTAATTATGAGGAATATCCTTCAAGAATTATGTAGGATCTAATGATTCAACTTCCATTAAAATAAAAACTTCCAAAAATAAAAAGGTATCTATTGTGTATCATTTGGTTTCTTTCACGTTTTCATAAAATATTTGCTTCAATTTGGAATAAAACGGCTTTGACGACTGAAACTATACTGAAGGAAATATAATACAGCGTAACCCGGATATAAGAGACCCGGATATAAGAGAAACCCGGATATAAGAGACTTCTTCTCCGGTCCCGACAACTCTCTTATATCCGGGTTACACTGTATAAAAATACCTTCAACTACTTTTCTTAAATATGAAAATGCCCTCAACTACTCTTTTTCTTAAACTGGACTATTCGAGCAAGTATAACGACGAAGTACTAATTTTGACTACTAAACGAGAGAGTGCTAGAGAGAGAGAGAGAGAGAGAGAGAGAGCAAATTTGACTATAACGACGGAGTAGTAATCTGACGCCTAATCGTCTCTCTTCCAAAAAATTCCTATGTCGAATCAGCTACGCCGAATCGGCCATGCCGAATCAGCGAGGCTACGCCGAAACTATTCTTTATCAACAAGTAATGAAAAAGAAATAAAATGAAAAAGTTAAACCTAAAACTCAAGTCATGTTAAATAGCCTCGTTAGATCGATAATTTCATATGGATGTCATTCATGGCGCCAACCCCATTCAGAAATATCTAAAGTGTCAGCTGTATACAACCACTTCCTAAGATCAATGGTAAAAAAAAAATGGTTTTAAGTGAGTGGAGCCTGGAGGTTTTGGCGAAGACCACACTTCTTTGAAGATTGTGGATTGGCAATACATTATCACAAAGTACTAAATAAAAGAAACACATCACTTGAGGACTTTCAACAGCAGCAACAGCTAAAATGGATAGCACGTGTAACCCGAAGAGAAAATAATGACACAAACAAGATCTTGACATTCTACATTACTTCAAGCAAATGGTTAGGAAGGAAACTCCCCATCAATTCTGGAAAGAGCGATAACAGCTACCAGATTTGAAAAATCTGTTTTCCTGAAAAAATTGTTTTAAGAGAATTCTTTTCTAAATTCATTAAATATATATAAAATTCTAAATGACTTTTGTTTATATATCTGGTATATGTAAGTACTGACTTAAAAGCCGTTCTATCGGGCGGCATTTAAACTGAGGGATAATGGAATTTTATTAGCTTGGCTTTAGAGATATCGAATGCCTCCTTTTTTGTGTCCATAGATACGAAAAAGGAGACTATCTATCGTAACTATGCGGACGTATCACTAAGCACACCACGTAACCCTTACAATGGGAACAAGATCAAAAAAAATATTAAAGTAAATCTCGGCCCTATATAAGAATGCAGCCGAAGCCACTCTGGGTAATCACATCGACCATACACAGGTGGGAAACACTAGAATACCAATAGCAATTGCTATTCATTCAGAGCAACACAGGTGAGATAAAAGTTGTTTTTTCACCAAACACCAACTACGTCAACCGCAGGAAAAAACACGTAACTTCTATCATTATATATATATATATATATATATATATATAGAGAGAGAGAGAGAGAGAGAGAGAGAGAGAGAGATAGAGAGAGAGAGAGATAGATAGATTGAACAATAAAAAATATTAAAAAATTAAAATCTTCAGACACACTGGGTTGTAGATTAATATTCTTTCGTTTTTATTATTATTATTCCATTTAGATTCCTCGACTAGTTTCGGCCAACATGATCATCATCAGGAGAAGAAATATTTCTGCTTGCTGGTAGCAGTGAACTATAGAAATGAAATATATATATATATATATATATATATATATATATATATATATATATATATATATTAGCTTAAAAGCTAGCTCCTGCAAAAGGCTCTTGATTGGGCCTTCGGCTTGTTCAGGAGTTTGAGAGTCCCCAATTCTTTCCATATTCCCAAGATTCGAAGCTCTGCTGGCTGCAGTTTAATCTAGGTTTTCATTTGCACAAGTCTTTCTTTTCCTCGCTACAGCGTTGACTCTTTTTATTGCAATCTGTTTATCTGTTAGTGGAGATTTCTTTTTACGAGGCATACTGCTACCGAATGTGATAGGCAGAAATAAACTACAGAACTCAAAATTGATCGCTGCATTTAAATATTGCATTAAGATAGGAGCTTATCTTTTATATGTTCAACGATAATTCTTCTACCGCCACTTAAATTTAAAGACAATTTGATGCATTTAGGTTCTTACTTTACGTACAATTATTTTTATTTCATGAGTAACTTTTGCTAGATTTTGCAATTAAATTCAATTATTCCTAAATTTATTTCCAAGTTAAAAAAATTGTTATCGTACAAAAAAATTGTCGCAGAAAATCACGGTATTCTTCAGGATGTGTCTATATTTCTGAGATGAGTTATTGTAACTATTTACATAGTTCGAACTGTCGTCCTCATCTTTATTGCCACTTCACGACGTTTCGGCCGTTGTACGCTCCGGCATTCTTCAGGATCTGTCTATATTTTGAGATGAGATGAGTTATCTTTGTAACTATTTCCGGCATTCTTCATAGTTCGAACTGTCGTCCTCATCATCTTTATTGCCACTTCACGACGTTTCGGCCGTTGTACGCTCCGGCATTCTTCAGGATCTGTCTATATTTCTGAGATGAGTTATTGTAACTATTTACATAGTTCGAACTGTCGTCCTCATCTTTATTGCCACTTCACGACGTTTCGGCCGTTGTACGCTCCGGCATTCTTCAGGATCTGTCTATATTTCTGAGATGAGTTATTGTAACTATTTACATAGTTCGAACTGTCGTCCTCATCTTTATTGCCACTTCACGACGTTTCGGCCGTTGTACGCTCCGGCATTCTTCAGGATCTGTCTATATTTCTGAGATGAGTTATTGTAACTATTTACATAGTTCGAACTGTCGTCCTCATCTTTATTGCCACTTCACGACGTTTCGGCCGTTGTACGCTCCGGCATTCTTCAGGATCTGTCTATAGTTCCGGAGTTTGAGAGTCCCTAAGTCTTTGCATATTCCCAACATTGGAAGCTCTACTGGCTGATGTTTGATCTGGGTTTTCATTTGCAT